CAAATATTAAAACAGCTAGCTAAGTTTAAAAAAAATTGCTAGGGCTGTTAAATTTTTTCATTTAATTTTCATTGCAATTAATCGCTGACTCCAGTTCAGTTCAATTTATTTTCATTCACACATGTTAAAAAATGAGGGAACATAATTCGTCACCCAGGTCCAACAGCGTACAGAAATAACATTTAAAATAGACCTATAATAAATATTTAAATAACCTAAAAGCCTATAATAAATACAACACATGTTAAAAAAACCAAGCAGCATGTTAAAGTGTGTAATAATGCATCAATAGCTGCACACAGTAGCAGCAATATAAATAGTTAATGGCGATTAATCACAATTTAATCGCATGTTAAAAATTCCATTATGTTGCATTTTAAAATAGTTTTAAGTCCATATTAACAAGGTTAAGAAATTCTTACCAGTGTCCCCAACTGGTGGGTTGCAGCCCAAAACTGGGTCACGGGTCCATTCTGAATGGACCGCAGTTGGCGCTCAAATGTGTCAAGTTTGTAAAACACACACTTTAAACACACTTTATTTTGAAGTACAGTGAATTTCCATCACAGAGCTTTTATAAAGTGCAGTTTCCTGTAGAGTGAGTGACTAATGGACAGCTACTTAACAGAGACAGCAAACTAGCTCAATGACATGGCCAAACATAAGCATGATGCTGAATATATTAAACTGTGTGGACCTTGAATTAATGACTAAGGAGTAATCTGGACCCCGTGGCTGGACCAGTTGGGAACCACTGATCTAATGAATACAAGGAAATTCGCTTTGCACATTGCAGAAGTTCCAGTTTTCTCTGATTCATACAGGTCCCTCAATACGTGACTCTATGTTTCCTGTGATGTAAGACATATGACTGGTCACAACATGACAACCTGAAGATGTCCCTTTGACCTGAGTCTTCTGCAATGTTGACTGGTCTGCAGTCATTGCCGCCCCTTTAGCAAGCGCTGTAGTTAACTTCTTCGATTTAGTTTCATCCACAGGTCTGTGGCGATTCAAACACTGCAAAATAATTCTTTCCTGGCTTTGTTGATGTGATTGTGATGTGATAAAATCAGTCTGAGTAGATGCTTAGCTCACAGGTGCTAGCTTAAACTCAAAGTGCTTTGGTGACATTTAATTTTGTTTGACATAAGGTGCGTATTACTTTTGACTTGTCAGCTGAGGTTTATGGATATTTTTAAAGTAAAATGGGCCATTCAAAAGTGCAGTGGTGTTGTTATTTTCTATCACTGCAACAACAGGAAGTAGGAAGCCACTGTGACAGATTGACTACAAGAAAGGGTGTGTTGAAGGGACAAAACAGCAGCATGCAATTAATGCATTTTTTAAAAAAAGTGTTATGTTCAGACCTTAATCACGTTGCGATTAATGCGTTAACGCTGACAGCCTTAAAAATGACACCACTTAACTGTAATGCAGCTTTTAAAACCAGGACAAGACAACACTTAGGATATTACAAAATCCAAACACTAAGACTGTATCTAGACACATATGATAATATCCGTATAATACAGATATATTACCCAGCCCTAGTTTGGACTGTAAAATGTCAGAAAATAAAGAAAAATATACCTCAGATTATCCTGCAAATTGCTTGTTTGTGTGACCAACAGTTGAAAAGAAACAAATAAATCTACTTTACAATAAAATAAAAAAGAGGAAAGCAGCAAATCTTTGCTTTTGGAGCTTCACCCATCTAATATTTAGCATTTGTGCTTGAAAAATATGAATTAGTTGATTACTATCCGTTGTTAAATAGAAGTGTCAGTTGACTAAACGATCAATCAGTTTTAGCACAGCTGGTATTAGCTTCAAAAATACCATGCAGCCAAGACAAAAGGTTGTTTACAAACTCACACACACACTCACACACTCACTCACACCACAATTCCCAGTGCAATGACAGTGTCATCGGCGTCAGACATGTCAGTCTGACTCGACCGCTCGTCAGCTGCATCTGTGAATGTTTTCAGGCTTTGCACGTTATTTTAAGGGTCAGAGAGAGGAGAGAGCCAGACTGCAGCCATGCACAGTCTGACTGCCACATGCCTGGTCATGTCCAGTCAATGTAGTGATACTGCAACAACTCCCGACGTCTTCCCACTGTAGTAGCTCTGTTTTCACAGCAGATATTTTGCCTCGTCATTGTAGGAAAGGCACAAGCGTCACTGATTACAGTAACAATGGTCTGGTTTCAGTCAGGTGTCCCGGTAAGCCGTGGCAGAGTGACAATACTCTGACACTGAAACAGCTAAATGGAACTCAGCCATCGCTCATTAAATAAATTAACAATATTCATTAATTTTCGTTTGATTGACGACTAAATTAATCAGCACATTATGTCAGAGCACGCTTCATACACATGGTTGTTTGCCTCGTGGTGATCTGGTTCACTTATTTTATTTGTTTGACATTACATCACTGAGTAGTCTACAGATCGCCTTGCAACATTCGGAGCCTGGTTAATATTCACCAGGTATTATTTCATCCTGAGACTCATATAAACTCAAGCCGAGGCCAGCTGAACACTAAGATAGCTTGTAACTAGCATAAGTGAGACTTTACGAACTTGTAATTTAACTATATCTTGTATTTTGATAATCTAAACAGCATTTTTCAAGCAAAAATGTGAGATGGTACCTGGTTTAATGTGAGGATTTGTTGATGGACATTTTTTCCTGTTTTCTGAGACTTTAGAGACCAAATGATAAATTGAGAAAATAATAAGGAAAGAAATTAACTGATAATGAAAATTAATGTTTGTTGCAGCCGCAGTTTATTATTTGTGTTTTCTTGCCCCACTTGCCCAGCATTTAACAAACATATCAGATTCAAACTCTATTCATTCATTCAATCATAACCGCTTATCCTGTTAGCGGTCACGGGGGGCTGGAGCCTATCCCAGCTGCAATTACGTGAGAGGCGGGGTACACCCTGGACAGGTCACCAGACTATCACAGGGCTGACACATAGAGACAGACAACCATTCACACTCACATTCACACCTACGGACAATTTAGAGTCACCAGTTAACCTGCATGTCGTTGGACTGTGGGAGGAAGCTGGAGCACCCAGCAGTTGCCAGTAGCAGCAATAGCAGCACAGTGGTGCAGTGGTTGGCATTGTTCCTCACAGCAAGAGGGCCTGGTTTGGACCCAGGGTGGGGGAGCCCTTCTGTGTGGAGATTGCATGTTCTCCTCGTGTCAGCGTGGGTTTTCTCAGGGTACTCCAGGTTCCTCCCACAGTCCAAAGACATGCAGGTTAACTGGTGACTCTAAATTGTCTGTAAGTGTGAATGGTTGTCTGTCTCTATGTGTCAGCCCTGTGATAGTCTGGCGACCTGTCCAGGGTGTACCCCGCCTCTTGCCCAATGTCAGCTGGGATAGGCTCCAGCCCCCCAGCGACCCCCATTACATGCATTAGAGCCTGTCGTATCTACCTTACGCCACGGGGAGAAACATAAATGAAAGTAAACGAAATGTCACACAAAGACACACATTTGAGCTACGTTAATGTTGACGGCTACAGAAAATAAATTTCCCAATATGTTACATTACTTGGAAAGTTATCCACTAAATATTACGTCACAATTTTATTTTACAAAACATAATTCCACGACTTTTACAAAACTTTACATTACACATCACATTGATTTTAAATTCAGTGACTCCTATAGGTTTTCCATGACCGTGGGAACCCTAATAGTTTCATGGATTTTGGCTGCTAAGACTAAATAAGTAAACATTTTACATCATTTCAAGATCTGCTAATGTGTGAAGAACATGTAGATATATTTCCTCTCTATATTCATTTGGAAAAACAGAAAAAATCTCCAGCAGCTTTGGTATAAACAAACGTGTTTTCATAGTTTGTCTCCCACACACTCTGGGGCCTTTCTGCAGCTTGCTGTGTCATGTGCACAAACCACACACACACACACATTTCCATTGGACTTTCATTAGCAAAAATAATCGTGTGAGTTGGAAAGAAAAAGTGAATGTGTAACCGAGTGTCCTTTCCCCCCTCCATCCCCGCGGTCCTCCCATGTGCGTTGGAATTTCCCGCATGGACTGAGAGGGATCTTGCTCCGTAAATTACAGCGCCTTGCATGTCAGAGGAAAGCCTTATATGGGCATGGAAGTGGGTGTGGCCAGCGAGCTGGTGGTGGCGGTGGACGGTGGAGGGGGGATCACAAGACAAGCAGAGACACGGAGAGAGTCGATGTACAGCAAAAAGGCCGCATTGCCACTGTGAGTTTTATTTGTGCAATCCTCGTGCAATAATGTGCAACAGACAGCGGCGGGAGTGCGCCCGCGTCTCTGCACAGTAGAGCTCCGCTTCCGACTCTGTTTACGCATCGACCCCCGTTTCCTCTTGACTTTAGGAGGAGGAGGAGGAGGAGGAAGAAGGGGGGTTAGGGGAAAAAGTACCAGTGAGTGAGGTCAGCAGCATAGCATGAGTCAACCTTGGGGATGTATGCAGTCACCATCGCAGGTCTGTATTGTGCGGGCCCTGCTGCTGCCGCCGCCGCTGCTGGACGCACAGAGCTGCCAGTGTGCGATCCTGCGGGGCTGAGCTGCGCCTAGTAGCAGCTTTCATGACAAACACAGTAAGTATCGGGGACAGACAGGGCTGGAGCCGCGGTGTCGATGACTGTGGCGTTGTTGTTGTGGTCGCCTGTGCGTGTTGTTGTCGCCACAGCTCGCCTGACAAAGTTTTGTTTACGTCGACGGAGCGTCCGCGCGGGGCTCATGGAGGATGTTTTTCCATCATGTCTCAATCAAAGCGGATTGACTGCACGGACATGTGACGTATCAACGTGGTTGACAAGTTCGATCCGCCGTGTTTGTTTGGCCGCCACACTTTTATCATGCAGGCTGCATTGTTGGCTCGGGTGGTTGCAGCGAGACACGGCATTAGTGACTGGATAATCCGTGTTCTGCAACAAAGGGTTTCTCGTAAATAGCGCTGAGCTGGCTGGCCACAGAAAGTGATGTGGAGAGGGAGGGGGGCATGAGGAAGAGTCATCTCGTGGAAGGACTCAGCATGTTTTTCCTCTTATATTCTGCTTTATTTGTCGTCTCTTGCACGCTTGCAGGCCCGGCCCAGCATGTTGCGAGCTGTGCCACACGATCTGATTTAAATTAGGCAACAGCGATGGATTAGGGCGGCTAACGGTGCTTGACATGTATTTTAAGCCAATTTAACGTGTTACTTTGTTTATTGGGCTCACAGGCTTGTGTAAGGTTGCACTTGGCCATGCGTCACGATGATCCATCACCTCGGATGGTTTAACGCACAGCACGGTGGCTCAGTTTTTGCTCATCCTGCAAAAGGACATTTTTTATTTATTTATGTGCAACATTTTTTCCACACAGAATGTTTCATAGGATTTGACAACATTGCAAAGTGCATGTGGCATTTGTTGGTGCACACACTCATTAGCATTCAGCTTCCTCTGTCAGTGGTGCCCCTGAGCCAGAGCAAGATCTGAACAGCTGCAGCCAGCTATTTTAAGAAGCATGCGTTTTACTAGGCCACCAGAGTAAAGGGTGACAATTATCAGTCACTTCCTAGGTTGTCAGAGATGCATGTTGGGAAGATTCTGGTATTAATCTGTAATCAGCACTTGCAACTTGCAGATTGAAGATATTTTTTCCTATTTATGTGTTGCACAAGAGTGACACCATTTTTTATCTCACCCAGATGGAGCAAGGATTGAATTTTTTTTAACAGAAACAGTCGGGATCTGTGTGCATCTCAAAACTTGGCAGGCTGCACCGTGTCAAAAATCTGCTCCAAAACCTTGCCATCAGATAATATTTTATTTGATTATCACCACGTGTTACCATGGCAATTGTCAAGATCCCCCCTACAAGCTATCGAAGCCTGCAAGGCCGTTTTGACTTTATCCCCTCACGCGGAGATGGTTTCATCGTGACTCATGCATGCACACTTTCAGTTGCCCTTCCTTTTTGAATGTGCAGCCACGGTTCAAAGGGCACGGGTTCCCTTTTTTTCCACCTCTGATGAGTCACTCGGTTGTAAAAAGAGGTTTCTATCACATTCAACATGCCGGCTGTTCTGTAGTTTGGCGGGAAAGGGTGCCTCTGTTTCAGGTCAGTTGAGCCAAGAGGGGTTTTTATTTCAAGTTGTGGGCTTAATTTTTTTTTGCATGTCCTCCTGCGGTGATGTCGTGGCTCGTTATTAAACGTGGCGCAGTAATATTTTGTAATGACATTTCCAGGAACTATTGATTTAGAGAACCTTCCAATAATATATGCAGGTCTGGTATACATGTCCGCCTGCATGCAGGACCTTATCACTGTGTCATGTGAGCTTAGCGAATAATGACACAGTTTAGACCCACTCCTCCCCTCCTCTATTCTCACACCCGATACCTTTCAGTGGAGGGCTATTGTTGAAAAAGCAAACAGCAGGTTTTTACATCGTTGAGGCGGGGATGATAATGAGACCCCCCTGTGGGGACCCCTTTAGTCTGATGGCTCAATGCTTGACCTCTCTGTCATTTTCTCTATACAGGGTGTTGCCCATGAATGAAAAAAACACACAGACTTCTTCAGATCTGCTCACCCCAGGCTGGCGACCTCTGAGGGGGTCACGAAGGACTTCAGAAGAGAAGAGGAGATCATCTTGCTCGACCTTTCTGCAGCTCAGGCTGAAGTCAGTGTAGTTTTGCAGCTTTATTTCACTGATTATTGGATTGCACTGGAGCATCGATAGCTTGTCTGGTTGAGAATACCCACCTGACTCGGCTTATTCATGCCCGTCATGAGTGTACCAGCCCAGCAAAAAGCCAGCGCCAAAAGAACAGGCAAACGCATCACTTTTTTCAACGAACAAAGCATAGCAATGAAAGAGGGTTCTCAGCACCCTGAGGGGTCCTACTACGTCCCCGGTGGCAACACCTCAGACCCCGGACAGAGCGAGGCTGCAAGTACCGTGACCTCCAATCCGGAGGCCCCTCACATGTACCTCAACTCTGTCATCTTCAGCCCGGATAAAGGTGACCAGAGCAGAGGTCACTATCAGCAGACTGTGCCTATGAAATGGGCTCACCAGGAGCCCAGTCAGCAGCAGCCATCTCTGTCCCAGCAGCAGAGAGCTGCCACGTGGAATACCATGGCTAACTGGGGACAAAACTTTGCTAATTACATTGGTGGAGTAACAGACTCAAGGACTCAGAATGCATTTGTGAAGATGCATGAGGCTGCAGGCTTACAGCCACATCAGCAGCCCCCTAACAGAGGTGCAGACAAGCAGCCAATGGGGCCTGCTGTGGAAGCGTACAGGGATGCTGTTAAGGCTCGGGGGCTGGATTGGGACCAGCAGCAGCAGTCCCAGTCCTTCCAGGAGACCTTGAAACCTGGGGCGTTGAACACCCAGCAGCACAGCACTTCCCACCCAGGAGGGAGCTCCGTCTTGCAGCCGTTCCAGTTGGCCTTTGGTCAGCCAAAGCAGCACCTGCCGGCGTACTACCAGGCCTTTCAAGGCAACAGAACAACCCTACCCAACCCGCCCAACTACTCGACACAAGCGAAACCCCCACACCAGTTGCAGCAGCTGCAGAAGCAAGAGCAAATACAACGGCAGCAGCAACAGCAACAACAGCATCACATAATCCAGCAGCAAATTCAGCAGCAGCACCATCAACAAATGCAGCAGCAACAAATCATTCAGCATCAACAGCACGTACAGCAACAGCTTCAGCAGCAGCAACAAATACAGCACGAGCAGCAGCAACAAAAGATACAGCAGCAGCAGCTCCAAATTCAGCAGCAAATGCAACATCAGCAGTTGCAACAACAAAACCCTCATGTGCTTGACTATTACCCCGGCGCACAAAATGCACACCCTCACCCGCATCCACAGCCTGTGGTGGTACACTCCCAGGAGTCCTCTGCTCCAGCTCCACCAAAGATCCAGGAACCAATTATCCAAGACATCACCCCAGAACCCCAGCAGCCTTCAGATCCGCTGCCACCCACTCTCCAGGCCGAGCCCCTGTCCCAGTCACAACCCCAGTCACAATCCCAGACACAGCTCCGCAGATCAAGACGGCTCTCGAAGGAAGGCGGGGCGCCGTCCGACAACCCGTTTCTCACCGTGTCTTCGGAGCAGGCTGCCCCGGGGCCGCAGGGCTCCCTGAACGGTGCCCGTGACATCCAGGCAGCCCCGACAGGCGTCATCCAGAGTACGCGGAGGAAACGCAGGGTGTCCCAGGAGGTCAACCTGGAGACTCTTGCTCAGAAGGCCTCGGAAATGGAGTCTCTGCCATCACATGTTGTAAAGGTAAGTGACCAGTTTGAATCTCAGACTGTCAAAATGTTCGATCATTCTTTCTTTGTACTATTTTGTATCCTCTTCTGTCTTCCTTGTTCTTTTGTTCACTCATGTGTTCCTCAGCTGTTTCCTCTCCAGCTAAATAACCTTTAGCAGAGAAGGACTGAGTGTTCCTCTGAATCCAGATGATTGCGTATCAGTTTATATCTAAACTCGTTGCTGCGAGCTGAAAGCCTTAAATTGTGAATATCTCATTGAGAGCTAAAAATCTATTTCTCCAGTGTTACCTCAGGGTATAATTGCAGTGGGACTGCAGCTCCCTGAACAAGAGCAGGAACTGGAACAAACGGCCTAAAGTAACTGCCAGGAAAACTGTGCCAAAACTTGTGTTGTTTGTGATTAACGTGTTGCTGGAAGAGATGCTGAGTGTAATCAACGCCCAGCGAAGTTTACACCACAGAACTGGGCTGCTCAGCTCTGCCTTGTGCGGAGAGTCTGTAGCTAAAACAAAGACGTTGCATTGTGAGTAGTGTCACAAGGTAAATATATACTTCACAAATATGTGCTTTTCAGCCCTGAGTGGTCGAATCAGTGAACAGATCTGATGAAATACCTTGGCTGTACCATGTGAAGTCATACACTTATCTGTGTTTTTGCACTGAAAGTCTCGATTGTGCAACAAGTTCTTGTTGCCAAACAGCACTGAGTCAGTATGTCTGTAGTTCAGCATGGCTGTGCCCTGGATTCGCCTCACGGCTTGGTGATCATACAGACAGTGTGTTTGGTTACATGCCTGCACACCTCCCCCATCCCATCAAAGGAGAGAAACTCCAGCCTGGCCTGGAGTGCCCTCCCCCCATCCATACAGGGAGGGGTGCAGGGTTGCCCTGCCTGCAATGCTCAGCAGAATATCTCTCCACCGCTCTGGTGTAGGGGCTGGAGTTTTCCACCAGCAACAACAAGCACAGATCCAGCGAAGCCACACTGCTGCATGCCTCCCTGCCCACGAGGATGCAGTGTGCAGTGACAGCATGCATCTGTCTTCGATGATGTGGTGGTTTAGAGGGCTTTGAAGTTGCTCCAGAAGTTGCTCTAAAGCACACAGGCTGCTCATGCCCACTCATTATGGTTTCTCAAAGAATAAAATGAGGAGAATGCTTCGAGGACTGTTCCTTTGACCTGTATCTATGGTCTGTCACTGAAGTGCTGCACCTAACAGTACTACGTCAAGGTGCTTGTTTTGTAAAGCTTTCACTGAAACATCCATTTAAATGCTTATTTGTATAGTGATTGTTTTACTCTGGAGTACACCTCATGCTTGTTTAATGCTGCATTGATCTGTGTGTTAATGCTCCATTTGAGTATTGATATAATTTTCTCTTAGATTTGTGTTTTTGTGTGAGGTGAGGAACAAGGTTTCAGGGCTCCCCATTTACTGTATCGATTATAATTTGGCAGCGTGCCCGGGTGAATTAACAGCCACCCAACCACCTGAGTAAAACTGGTTTAAGATTTAGCGATTTGTGGTGTGCTAAGATGAAGCTACAATTACTTACTTAAAGGGACAGTTCACCCCAAAGTTTAAAATACATATTTTTCCTCTTACTTGTAGTTCCATTTGTCAATCTAAATTGTTTAGGAGTGAGTTGCCGAGTGTTGAGATGGCAGTGTCTCTTTCCAGAAGTCACAATCCACTTACTACGACCACAACTACTACCAAGTTTTAAGTATTGTAACACCTTGTCTTCCGTCTTTGTCAGGAGCCCCACAGGCCATGGAGTCCCACTGATTCAGAGGGTCTAAACGCTAAGCGGCATCGAGACGACAGCCTCCTTCCACTCGTCATCCCCGTGTCTGTCCCCGTGCGAAGGCAGGAGCCCTCCTCTCCCGACAGAGATGACACTGCCCTGGCTTCCAGCTGGCCCCCCAGGCCCTCAAACCCCCAGGACCTCGGCAGGGCCGACCACAAGCCCTCGGTCATCGTCACCCGGAGACGCTCACTCAGGAACTCTTTGTCAGAGAGCTCAGAGCAAGTGAGTACTTTTTTTTATTTCTTGCTGCTTTTGTTTTCTTGTTCTTGCAGGAGGTGTACTTTGATGCCATTTTTTGATTTGTAAATCTTTATACTTTTGCATTCATCATTTGTTTAACTGTCAGAATTGATTTGGGGAGGTAGTAGGGTGGTGCTTCACTGTCTTCCTCAATCTGTCAAAGCTCCCTTCCCCCCACCGTGCTCCATGTGTCCCCCGACCCCATTTCAGTCCTCCACACTTTCCTCCCTTTCCCTGTTTCATTTGGGGGGTGGATTTAGATTCAGTAAACTGTTTACCCTGTCCCAGATCAGGCAGATTATCAGGGTTTAACACTGCCATACTGTACATTATGTACCATACAGCTGAGGGTCGGGGTGCCGTGTTCTCTTTTATTCTCAGGATAAATGCAGATGAAGCCAACTGTATGAACATGCATATCTGTAAGGGGTGTCAACAGTTAACCATTAACCAGTTAACCACTGAGGATATTTTTGACTGGTTATGCATGTTGGTTGGTTAATTTTGCTACTCTTAAGTTCACTGAACTGCACAACAGTGGGGGAATCGATTTGTTGACCGAAGTATGTCAGACTCTTTTAGCTTGTTAGTGTTGGACCTTTTTCCAGTTGAACTGTTATGTCACAGACCAAACAATCGAGTGTTGTCCAGCTGTACCACCACTTGCTTGAACAGGTCGCCATTCCATGTTTTCCTCCTATCCATGTATTTTAAAATAGTCAGCTCTTTCAGCTGACACAGCATGAACTGTGTTTCCTCGTCTTTTCAAAAATGCACGGCTCTGGATGTCGCTCTATTAACACTGTTAACAGTATCAGCATAGCTTATGGTGCTAACATAGTTAACAGTGCTAAAGGGGTTTTGCTGCTTAACATGAAGCTGCTTACTCACTAGTGGTGTACAGTGCAGAGAGGGTCCTGGCTAACCATAGCTAACCAGTGGAGACTTGAGGGTGGGCAGTGAGCTCTAGGTTTCCACGTTAATACAGCAGCTGGCTGTCAGTCAGCAAAGCCAACAGAAAATAGAATAAAAGGCAGAACATTTGCATCACAAACATTAAAATTTCACCACCTTTAAGTGGATGGTGCTCTGAAATGCAGCGCTGAAGCTCATTGAGTCAATGGAGCACCAGACTAAAAGCAAAATTAACCAGTTAGTTACCAGTTAATGGGTGTCTGCTATTGAAAGCAAAATTAACCAGACAGACATCCCTAATGTCTGATTTTGAATATTTTATTATGTGTGTGTCTTTCATGAAATTAAAAATGATGAATCATTGAGCTGCACACTGTAATAAATCCACCTCTTACAATTATTCTTCCTCACCAGAATGGAGGAACCGAAGGAGAGAAGGACGATGACAGCAAAAAGTCTAAACGACGTCCCCGGCCTGAGCCTCTTTTCATCCCGCCACCTAAACCCGGCTTATTCATCGCCCCTCCTGTCTACTCCAGCATCACGCCCTACCAGAGCCACCTACGCTCCCCTGTTCGCCTCGCCGAAAACCCCCTCACCATTCCCCCCTACACGCCTCCGCCAATCCTCAGCCCAGTCCGCGAGGGCTCCGGCCTGTACTTCTCCACTTTCCTGTCCTCGGCTGCGGCCAGTGGCCAGGGCCTGCCGCCTCCTGCGACACCCAAGTCTGCAACACGCAGCCTGTTGCGCTCCAGTAAGTAAAAAGACTCCCTGAATTATCCACAGGACGCCTAACCTGCTCTGAACCCTCGGATAATTTCCTATAAACAATCTGATATCAGACTATATGTATGCTTTTTACCCACTCTTGAACTGTGTATTAAATTATAACTCTTATAATGAATCACTGATTGGCTCTTGTCGCTGCTCTTTTAGACAGCTGCGACATCACACCTCCTGTTCTGTCTGCTATGAGCGAGGCCACTCCAGTCAGCATAGAGCCGTGAGTATTTCCCAAATCATCTTCTCTTCTTCCACTGTGGAAGGGTTTTGGGGTTTGGGGCGGGGTTGTGTATGTAGAGCAGGCATTGCCATAGCTGGAGTAGCAGCTCTGCAATCAATTATTCAAACCATAATAACATCGGGCTGAATCATGATTTGTCCTGAAAGAGAGCACACACTTCTTGAAATACTAAACCCCATCCTTTAAGGCAGATCTCCTCTCGGCCACTGTTACCACTGGAATCTTTTGCCCTGTCATCCAACGCTAGCATTATCACCAGCAATCGCCCTCTGATCTAACTTAGCAGGCTAATGTCTCTCTCTCTCAATTAAAGTGCATCCTGTCATAACAGCTCTGCAATAACTGTCAAATGAAAGCCTTTTGAGAACTAATGGCTCTGTGCTCTTTAAAGCACACGCACTGAGAATATAGTTTTGGTCATATATATATATATATATATATATATATATAAGTTTCAATAGTTTAAGAGTGTATATATTATGTGCAGTTTTAGTTGACATAAATGCTTCAGATTGAAGTCCTAGCTGATATAGGGACACCCGTGGTTACCATGGTAACAGCAAGTGGAGTTAAATACAACAACAAACATTCAGTGAGCAGTTACTTTGTCAGAAATACAACAGAAGAGCGACTGTTTCTGTTTACAGCCGCACAGACTCACATTGTGTCAATAAAGAAGTCAGCCAGTAATAACTGTAGCTCCAGTCTAATACCTCACTGAGGAGGAAATGAAGAATCATCCACTGTTTAAAAGTGCCCCAAAATGCTCGTTGTCTTTGTTTTGTAGGTGCTTTTTTGATAATCCTGGGTTTCCTGTTGCTGCTTCATAATAATTAAATAACAAATTTAATGTGAAGCAATGACTTAATCCATCTTATTACACTGTATAAAAAAAGTTAATAGTGAACTTGACAGCAATGAAATAGAGTTAAATAAAATAAAAATGACTACACAGAGAGGTAATTACTGAAAATAAATTCATAAAATAGCTTTTGAATAAAATACTGACCAAAAATGTTGGGTTGGGGAAAAATCAATACAGCTTGGTATTGCAATATTTTTGTGTGGCAATATCGTATCATCACAAAGTGCCAAGTATAGATTTTTTTAATTATAAAAAAATATTAATATTACAAATTAAAATTTAATTTAGTTAAGTAGCCTACTTTCAGGTGTGTTTTTGGATCTCAATTTTTAGAGAACCAAATAGTGATGCCTGTCTGATGCCTGTTTGCTTCTTTTTTTTTGGATTTGCACTTGTTTGAAGTTCCATCGTCATTGCTGTTTTCGCTGTTTATTCAAGTCAAGTCAGTTTGGCCTTAGTAACCGTTTACCCGCAATGCTAGCAGAGACCGGTAAAAAAGGTATATCGCTTCACACAGAACTGAGCTGAAGTCTTAATGCCAATACACCCCTTGCCCCTACCACTAAACCCTACTCCATTTTGCACATTCACACTTATGGGTATGGCATCTTGATTCTTGTTGGGATAGAGGGGTAGGGTGAAGTGTACAGGCGACATGGCCCTTTTCAGAGGCACACTCCAAACCAAGTTTTAGGAGAAATCATCAGTAAGATGGCTGTAGGAGCAACAAAAGAAACCCACAAATGTATTTTCCTTGTTAAAAACGATTAAAAAATTAAAAAATACAATAACCACTGCATTATGTTAGTTTAATGTCCTTTCTGTGTTTATGGTAACTTTCTTAACTTAACAAAAAAAATTGCTAGAATGCTGACGTCTCGATAGCTAACTAGCTAGCTTGCTTACGTTATATTGTTATTTCTGGTTTGTGCATGACAGTCCCGCATTTCCATGTGGCATCCCTCCCTTTTGAGATGGCTTATGATACCTGAAATTTACCACAAGTCTAGCAGTGAAGTTGCTGCACTTGTTAGCGCTCCTCCAATATCAGGGAAGACTGGCAGGGTAGGAACACAGGTTGCTAACATTAGCTCTCAGTGCACCGCTAGCGGCCTGGTAATAAAGCAGTGTTCTTTTTATTTGATGGATTGATAGCTTGAAACTGAATGAATTGCACGTGTCCATGCTTCTCTATCTCTATCAGATGAAGGGCAAATGTCAGTGTGATAATACCATTATTGGCATAGTCACGTCTGCTTACGTAAATGCCATCAATGACCACTGATGACATATCAGGGTTGTCCCATTTCATAAGGAAAGATTTTAACCACTACCCTTTGCAACTGTGATCTGAGGGGCAAATGGGCACTTGAAAATAAGGGGTAGGAGGCAAAATAAGAAATGGGATTGAGTCTGTTGTGTTAACTCCCCGAAAACAGGTTTGCCACAGACATTGGGTTTGTTATACTGTAAATGCAAGGGGTTTTGTCAGTGGACCATAGGTTCAGTCACCATCGTGTTACCTCATTCAGCGATACATAGTGACCTAACATTTATTAAAATCAGAATCTTCTAGATTTTCACTTAAAGGATTAGAGTTTAAACTTAACACAGGTCATCATGTAAATAAATGGAACCAAAGAAGACCTTCAGTAGAACATGGCCCACAGCCAAGTTGCTCCATAAATGTAAACACAGCCTCTGTTAACTTGGATGTTTATGAAAATTAGCCCAACAGAAAAAGAGGAGCTTGACAGTGAGACTCCATTTAGTTTAACCCTTCAGCTATTAGTCTAGGATTCTTTTTGGAGTTGCATCAACAGCGAGGTGAAGTTTATGGAGGTGCATTGTGCAAGCCCTTCCCCCTCCGACTGGTGCCAGCTACTCAGCAGTTAGTCAGGGATGAGCTCGGGAACCTTTCCATAAATCATGCCTTCAGCTGGGCTGGTGTACTCCCAAACACATGAGAGCCTTCGCAGTTCAACTTGTAGCAGCCCACCTTCCCTGGGGGAGGCTGCCAGAATACACAAACACACACACACACACACACACACACACACACACATACATATATACACACTCAGCTGGAAATACTGCAGGCCTACTGGAAATGCAGGGGAGGGAAGGTGCGTGCTGGAACAGGATTGTCTATGTTGTAGCACAGCATGATTTTTACAACTATAGCACTGAGGTATCTGGTTTCAGTTGTAAGCCTATAGAGATGCATCTGTTGGATTATGAGCCTTTCTTCCTGCTTGAACTCAACCTTCACCCCACACCAGAATGAGGATCCGTTTCCTTTCGGTTCAGGGAATTCAAGAAGTGCACTCTGTTTAAAATACAAATTTCAAAAGGAATCTGCATTTTATTCATTATGCTGAGAGGACAAAAGGGAGCTGTGTAACAAGCTGGAAATCAAAACAGTGCAAGAATGGTGGTGCTCAGAGCCTGAATGCCTCACCAGTCGTCCTGCTACTATTTAAAGATCACGGCAGGAAGAAGAGCCAAGAAATCAAAATGTGATCTCAGAAATAAAACAAGAGCTTCACTCTTAAGAGGAATCTGATATTGTTACATGATGACTGAAATATTTAAGAGTGAATAAATACCTCTTAACTGCAAAGGCACTTGATGAATTTTGCATGGATCAAATTCAGAGCCTCGCTGCTCACACTGATGTTCCATTCCCAGACGGATAAATATTGGGTCGCGATACCAGGCGGAGGTGCCAGAGCTGAGGCAGCGGTCAGCTGTCGAGCTGGATCATCATCGAGCGGAGCTGGTCTGGGTTCCACTTAATGAACTGGAGGAAAAGCCTGACTTTCAGCAGAAAGGTAAGAAAAGTACCAGTGTTTCACAGTCGTTACATCACCTGAAACTGAAAGTATGAACACTTGTGCAGGATTGTTTGGCCTGCATTAAAGGGGCAAACCAGTAGATGCCAGTTATTTTACTGAGGCTGACTAGTTCTTAGAATTTATTTATTTATTTCACAAGGAAACAACTGACTTTTCTTCTTTTTCTTAAAACTTTGAGACCCTAAACTAAGATGCCAGCTTACTTTTTCACACAGAACCAAACAACAGCGGCATCATGCTGCCCCTGTGTGTGATTTTAGACAGCATGCCAGCGTGACGTGTTACACAACAGCGTCGGCCTTTATCTAGTGTGACATATAACATACACGCCAGCAGTGCTTTATAAACAATAACCATGACATAACATGGCAATAATAATCATTTACCGTCCTTGTTATATGGCAGCTTATCTCATCCTTGGAGGATAAGGAGCTCTCAGACCTCAATGTCTCCTCACTTGTTGACATTTTCGGCCGCTGTCCTTCTTTGATTTAGCTGCTAGCTGCTTTTTAAATCTTCCAGTGGTGGGTCACACACATAACATGTTATCAAAACATCACATTTGTCCCATCCATGGTCTCGTCCTGTTGGCTGCATCCACTGTGGCCTTAAAGGCGAGACCTGTCCCCCCCATTCCATGATTGTACCTTTGATAAAGAATGGCGAGGTGGAATAACTGCACGACATTCCCGTCTTGAACAGGCAGTATAAAATGGCCATTTAACTCGTTTTGTCAAGTGTCAGACAGAAGTCTGTCACCACATTGTAATTCTCTTGTTTGTGAAATACAGAAATAACTTCCTGTCATCACTATGAATTGAGTATGTAGAGTCTGTGTTCAATGATTCATTATCAAGCTGTTGCCAATTAGGATGTCTCAAGCTTCATTTAGATACTTGTATATTCAGTGAGAAAACTCAGGCAGTTTTATCTCCTCAGGTATATGATGCAATTTAGTGTGGTAAAATAGATTTAATTGTCACTGTGGGGAGGTTTGTTGGTTTTGTTGGATTTGATGCATCGCTGATCCTCCATAATTTAAAAAAAAACTACACACACAGTACTGTTTCATATTTGAATCAGTTATCTTTTAATTGCAGGCTTGATCTTCATTCTCTCCCGTACAAGGACAAAATAATGTCAGCAAAATATTATTAATAAAGATGAGTGTGTTTTTTTTCTGTGTCTTTCAGTGGAAGACCTCATGCACCTGGCCTGCTCCAGTGTTTTGTGTGGAGGAGGCACCAACCAGGAGTTGGCCCACCATTGTTTGTATGAGTGCAAAGGGGACATATTGGTGAGCACAACAGAATAATCCATCTGTCGGATTCTAACACACACATTCACACCAACCTGTTTCCCTTTTAAAGAACACCTAAACCAATTTTTAAAAAGTTTTGAAGGCCCTGAAAACTTTCTGTAAGTGATGGGATGTTGTAGCATTTTCTACCAAAGTCAATTATGCTCTTCTCACTGGTTTGAAGTGAGCAGGGCTCACTTGGGAAAAAAGTTGATGTCATGTACTTCAGTGCACCAATCAGGATTTAGTAACATGCATCATTTGGTCAAATCTTTTTTATTTTAAAGATTTATTTTTGGGAATTTTTGCAGCCTTGAAAACTCTATGTAGGAAGGATATTGTCATTCATAGAATTTGAGGGATCTTTGATTTGAAGACGTAGCCTCCTTGCAATGTAGGATTTATTTAAGGATCCTTGCTTGACTTTGAGAAGCACCATTGGATGCCAGTGTTGTTTTTGTTTCTTAGCTCTTCAGGAGGAGGGTTTAAAAGTGCCAGGGTCTAAAATGGAACGTCTCAGACACAGGGTTAACACAGGCGTTACAGCACAAACAGTATGAGGAAAATTAAGTGCTTTTTTAACATTAAAGCATATAAACATCTTTAAGTAGAAACCTAAAATACAAGTATGAGCCAGGAAATGAGAATAATCGGTCCCCTTTGATGTTATAGAGAAACACTAGTTTTCAGGGGCTTTATAGAAGATTAAAATAATAAAATTACAGTGGATGATAGTACTATTCAGCAGCAGTGGGTTTATTTCAGTCATAAATCATTTTTAGATTGAATATGAATCATTCTTTTAAAAGCATTGAGTTGCCTGTCTTGATTTAAAGATATTGTAAAGCCTTATGCACAGTCCACACATGATTAGATTCGTGGTTTATATGGTTTCCATGGTCGTATTAATAGGAACCATGCACAGTCTTTGTTAGTGCACAGATACACAACAAATAGAATGTTTATATGCACTTAAGTAACTGTAGGTTATTAATAACCTGATTTTTATCAGGTTTCTTGGCGCATAAACAAGAGGACTGGTTTCCTTACTCGGTGTATGGGGTTAATTAAAGCTGACACTGCTTTATTCTTCTGGTGAATCCTAATTTCTTGCGCTTTAAAGTCTTAACCTTGCTCTAACAGGATTTACACATAAAAGCAGATGCTCTAAGATAGTGGTGTTGTGATCCAAAATAACTAAATGCAAAGCTCAACTAGGACAAAAATGCATCTAAGTGTAGCTCCACATTTCACTAATACACTGAGTGTGTGTCAGGCTTGGTTTAATAAATGCAACAGGGAGGAGAGTAAAAGTCTGTTTACTGACGAGCTGCATGTAAACAAGAGGTTTACAGTACTCTGGTTGTTGCACGTACGTGTGCCACCTAACTTCCTGCTTTAACCTGCTATCTTCGACTAACCTTGTTTCTCGTGTGCATGTAAATGTAGTGACTGAATGCCTTCATGTGAGCTGTCAATGATTACTGAGGAGAAGTGACTGATCTGTCTGCTTTAAGTTTGCTCCGAAAGTGTCGCGGTGGCCTGAGATGACTGAGATAGTGAAATAGGTTGGTTATTTCGTCGGGGGCATGGTGTGGTGTCGCCACTGTGTCGAGCAGAGGAGCTGCACACGTTGTCAGCGAGGTGTCACAAACCACAGGGTTGACTGAAAAGCTGAGATGATTCTGCCGCCTTTCCACTGCATGATATGACACAACTCAACTCGCTTTCTTTGGTTTTCCTGTAGAGAAAGTTGTGAATAGTACCTAGTTGTTTTTTTTGGTTGCACCTCAGTTGAGGTTTAAAGCAAGCTAACTAGAAACTAGAAGGTGGAGTTAAAGCACAGCAGACCACTAATTGGTCAGACAGAATCCTTAATAGCGTGACATAGGACGTTAAGCACAAACCCCAAACCTGATATTTATAATTAGCTACACTACAGTAATTTCTAACTAACTTGACCCGGATTTTAAAAAAATGTCAGCCCACAAAACCTCACCGTGGTCAACTGACGACGTGCAGATGAAAACTTTGTCGATCAGCTCAGACTCGCGCCTTTTTCCTGAGGTGGTACTTTCTGCAGAGGAAAGTGAAATAGAGAGAAGGACCTGGTACTAAAAGTGAGTCGAGTCGAGCTGAATCATGCAGTGGAAATGAGACATTTGTCAAGAAATGAATAGACATTAAATTATTATTATTATTATTATTAAATTTTGATAATCAATCATTAGTTTAAGTAATTTTTCAAACAAAAGTGCCAAAAAATTCTCGCGTTCCAGCCTCTCAAATCCTCTTTAATTTGTGTTAAATAACAGGATACCTTTGGGTTTGGGGTCAGACAAAACAAGACCTTGGAAGTTGTCACCCCAGGCTTTAGGAAACTGTGATGAGTATTTTTCTCCATTTTCTGACATTTCTTAGACCAAAATATGAATTTATTTGACCTGAAAAATAACCAGCAGACCAGTTAACAGATTAAGGCAGCTGTAGACGAGCAACTCCCGTGATTTGCGAGGTAAATTTACTGTTGTTGTCAGAGTATGGTGGCTTTGGAGAGAGGGATATAATGGCCTCAGTTTCCTAAAAGTTTCCTTTTAGAAGACCTGTAAAAGAACACATTATTGTATTATATGTTATACACTCATTTCCCAGCTGTAATTGAAAGCATCTTAAGTAACCAGACAAAACATCTGTGTCATGAATATGCCCGAAGAAAGTCAGAAAAAGTCATAAATGTTCACAAGCTTGTAGTCACTCATAGCATCAGATGAAGTCATTGGTCAGATATGTGCTCCACCTATTCTGCAGCAGTGATGCATCCTGTGTCTCACAACGATTGCATCAGAGTCAGACCACTAATTATATCAGGGCGAGTGCATCGTGCAGCACAGATATCCTCTGTCCATCCCTGACCTCTGTATAAAACAGCCAACTCAAGCCATGCTCAAATAAAACACAGCATACTGTAATAAATCCTAGCTACTCAGTATGTTTAACAACAAAAGGAACAAGGTGCTCTGCACTGTTTGTGGTATTAAGGTTAAATAGCGGTCGCTGTTGAATGCTATGAGGCAGCACCTGGAGTGGCTCTTTCCTGGTCATGTCACTCCCATTGAAATACAAACTGTAGAGGATACAGTCATGCTATTATTTAAGAGAAGCAGAGGGATGCTGGGAAATAAAAAGGAAAATGAAAGCTTATCTCATAAAAGCTTTGCTGCATAATTTATATGATCAGAATGATTATAATTAAGGTTGCAACCTACAATTATTTTCATAATTGATTATCATATAGTTCATACTTGGTCTGTCAGTTATTTTCTTGACTAATCAACCATTTCTAAATGAAAAAGATGCAGAGAAATTGATTCATGCCGTCATTTCAAGCCGCCTCGACTACTGTAACACAATTTTTACTGGTCTCCCAACAAACACCACTGAGAGACTTCAGCTCATTCAAAACTAAGCAGCTCTGCTTTTAACCAGAACCAAGAGGAGAGAGCACATCAGGCCAGTATTACCTGCTCTGCACTGACTTCCTGTTACATTTAGATTCAATTTTAAGCTCCTCCTCCTTGTATACAAAGCCCTACATTGGCTGGGACCGTGCTACATTGCTAACTCCCTTGCTAACTATTTGCCTCCAAGAACACTGCGATCATCTGCTGCTGGTTTATTGGAGGTTCCAGCAACAGCTGGAAGAAGATCAGGGATGCAGCCTTTGATAATTACACCCCAAAGATATGGAGCACACTACCTATAGATATTAGGGAAGCTAGCTCCCTAAATATTTTTAATATTCACATTCTCCACTCTGCTGGCGTCCTGCTTCAGCGTTGTGGCTACCTGAATTATGAAATGATACTGTGCGCCTGTGAAATTGCACTCTGCTGTAAGCATCATAATTGCTGCTGTGCACTTCTGGATTGGCTAAAGTTACTTTCTGTTTGTCATGGAAGATTTCAAGAATTGGTAATTGCTTCTATATATTTTCACTTCTTTTCTTGCTGACCACTTCTGCCCTGTTCCTCTCTCTTGTTGCAGATGTATGTGTCCTGCAGCTTACGCTGCACTTTCTCTTTACTGCTTCTTGGTCAAACATTTCTGTTGACGAATGCAAGAAATGCAGAAATCAAACCTGTTCTGAAAACTTAAATTATGGACAATGTGATTGACACAACATGAGGTTGTATTTATTCTTAAACGTGCGACAATATCAGACGAAAAATACAGACTTGGTGTGCAAAGGCCTCAAGTCACGTTGTTAACCCACAGACTATTTTTGTTTTTGTGTAAAGAAGAGTTCATTTATAACAGTAACTTACAGTGAATCTAGTAGATGAATTGTTTGACACAGGCCGAGAAAGACTCTTTAATTTCACAGAGAAAACAGAAGCACATCACTTTGTCTTTACAGTGACTTTGACTGTGATCCTAAATCAATACTTCCATTATTAAAGATACACAGGCTGGAGTTGCCTCGCAGAGCTGTCAGAGAGCTTTGTAGTAGTACTGGTGGAGATTTCAGGCCCTAGCGACCAACACTGGTCCAACGTTGTCAAGGAAACGACGAGGAGGGGGGGTGTCGAAGCGCCCACTCTCTGCAGCAGCAGTCCGGCTCAAACGGCCGTCTTTCAACACTCAAACACAGTCAAGACTTTTTTTTTCTTCTCAAAGAGCACAGAGTTGATTCTTATTTTGACAATGCCACAGAGAGTACAATCATGATATCACACACTCAGGTTCCTGATACAGGCAGGAAAAATGAGAGGGATGGTTATCTCGCTCTGTGGTTACCTGCAAGTGACTGGCTCATTGTTTGGCTAGGTGTGTTTTTACGGGTTTATAAAGCACAATTGGAGCCAAGAGTCGGCTCGCTGGCAGGAGCGACCTGTTGTATAAGGCTCGTAACAACCACAGCTGTGCAGCTAATGTTGGTTCACTTTCAATCATTGGTAAAATGTTGTTTGTTTCTCAGGCTGCTCTGTCCCTGCTGATGCTGAGGAATCCAGTTTTCCCCAAATCTCATCATCTGGCAAACTATCACTACTCAGGTAAGTCATATACAAAGAGCATTTATTCTGTATTTGTAATGAATTTAAACTGTTTCTAACTTGCCATGATAAATGGATCTGATAAATTTAGACCTGTCATGAGTAGTTGATTAGCTGATTGACAGAAAGTGATAAACAGTCAGTCCTTGCAGTCACAAGTGGATTATCAGTCACATAAAGTTGACTGAATTCTTAAGCCCAGTTCAGACCAAAGATTCGCAACGAGAGGAGTTAAAGCAGACAACTACTTGCAACACTTTGCTCTGCAACGTTCTAAAAACCTATCAGTTCACACCAACGCAACTAGATGAGATGGTGTATCGTCTCTATGCAACAACTCTCTGTACTTCTGTTCTGATTTCCAGCTTTTCAGGCTTATTTTGTGGCTGAATATAATTTGTAGCTTCTTAAAATATGAATGAGGATAGTGATAGTGAGATACCTGGCTACAGCTGCATTTGTAGTGGTGATGAAGCAGCAAAAAAATATAAACAAAACAAGCATCAGATGGACTATTTTCATGATAAATACGCCACAATAATATAAGTAAACAGCGCTGGATAATCCGTCAATGAGAATGTGTGTGTCGGGGGGGCATGAGCACATACAGTGAGCAGCAGCAGCGACCCACCGTCCAACATGCTGTCTGCGGCCATTTTGACTTGACCAGCTGACTGGCTTTAGAAACAGGCCATGTGCCTTACGTTCTAAAAACCAGCCGCCAGTGATTTGACCAGCTGAGTTGCAGGTGACACCATCAGCTGGCTTGTGGTGACATCCGACGGCCAGTTCACACTGCTGCAACTTTTCTCTGCAGTGTTATGAAACATTTTCGTCTTGTTGCAAATCTGTGGTCTGAACTGGGCTTTATGTCATAATTTTTGGCGTCCAGCTGGTATTCATACGCTCAAAACAAATGCTCACAATTAGTTGAAAGTCCTGTTTTTTAGCTGAGGTGAATTTTAAATTGTGTGTGTGTTTTTTGGTTCATAATTATGAGTGTGTCAGCAACCAGTGGTGGAAGAAGTATTCAGATCCTTTACTGAAGTAAAGGTACTAAAAGACTTTGAATACTCCACTACAGGTAAAAGTGCTGCATTCAAAACCTTACTTAAGTAAGAGTATATAAGTAAATTTATCAGCAAAATGTACTTAAACTATGAAAAGTAAAGTACTCATTGTGCAATAAAATGTTCCCTGTTAGTATTTTACTATTATATATGATGATGCTTTGGGATTAATATTACTGCTGTAGGTGTTTAAGGTTGTGATAATGTTATCTCCTTTACATACTGTTGGGTAGTTTAATCAACAGCAATGCATCATATTCTATGAGATCATCATATGTTTGTTGTATAGCTCTCTTATAAAGACGTCATATTTCTAAAGAGTTAACTTTTCATGGTCTCAGTAAAACAGCCTTGTTCTCAGCTTTGTGATGATGCATCTTCCAGCTGATGAAAGAGGATTTTAAAGCGTTTATTTAGATTAAAGGGGCAGCTCAACCCAAAATTAAACCTGTAGTGCTATTTATCAGTTTAGATTGCTTTCACAGAGTGTTGGAGATATCAGCCGTAGAGATGTCTGCCTTCTCTCTAATATAATGGAACTAGATGGCACTCAGCTTGTGGTGCTGAAAGTGCCAAAAAATACATTTGAAAAACTCAACAGCAATGTCTCTTTTCAGAAATCATGACCCAGTTACTCAAGATAATCCACAGACCTTGTGAGCAGTTTCATATCCACACTCGCCAACGGTATCACCATGCAGAAGGAAGCATGCATGTACTCAGGGACGAGAGCCTGAGCTGTAATATTAGCTAGCTCAGTGGTGCTAGGTGAGCTTGCTGTAGATACAAGCTTCCTTCTGCGCAGTGATTCAGTTGGCGGTTGTAGCTCAGTAGAGAGAAAATAGTTCCTACATAAAACTGCTCACAACAAGGTCTGCAGATTATCTTGGGTAAGTGGGTCATGACTTCTGGAAAGAGACATTGCTGTTGAGTTCTTCAAACCACAAGAGAGGAGACAGAGCAGACAACTCTTCAGCTGACATTTGCAACACTCAGCAGCTCACACCATAACAACCTAGACTGATAAACAGCACTACAGGTAAGAGGAAAAATATGTTTTTATGATCTTGGGGTGAACTGTTTCTTTAGGTACAGTTTTTGAGTAAAATGAACTGAGTTAAATTCCACCGCTGTCAACAACCTTCTTTCTTTAAACCATCTAACATTGACTTTCTAAGGCCTTGACTCAGAGCAGTGGCAGCTGCACTAGTGAGAGTGTGAGGGTTGTTGTGGGTGGGGGTAGTGGGTGACTGTGGAGGATTGTCAGGGTCAACACGATGAGGGAAGGAGCGGAGTAGGGGGGTTTACAGCATGTGGTTAATCCCAAGCAGAAGACAGGAGAGCCATTGTTTATCGAGCGATTTGAGCGTGTGTGTGTGTGTCGTGTGGTTTTAGGGTGGGGGGTGGGATTGAACTTGTCAGGATCTGCACACATTCAGAGTGTAGTCTGGAAGGAGATAGTTGTTGAGTGTTTTTAAATGTCTCTGTCTCTCAGGATCAGACAGCTGGACCACAGCTGAGAGACGCCAGTTCAACAAAGGCATCGCTGCGTACAAGAAGGACTTCTTCATGGTGCAGAAGCAGGTATGTTGTGGTTTAAGGCATGAGAGCAGGAAAATAAAAAGTCTCCACTCTGGTCTCCAGGCTTCACAGTAGCTGTGGGCTGATAAACCTTCTGAAAGACAATATAATGTGTGCACACAATATTTTCACTGACAATGGGTGGGCGAGGGAAAGGAAGTACAGTCACTGTGAAACAATGTTTCCTACTTGTTTAATTATTTACAGTGTCGCAGTCAATCATGGCTTTTCCTCAAGACTGTAAACTATTTCATTTTCTTGTCTAAACCGATTCAAGCGCGAGGCCAAATTATGTCAGTTTGAGATTTTTACAGTTTTCATTGGCCAAACCATCAGACTGAAGGCTTTTAAATTTGATTCAGGCTTTTGTTGTGTTGTCTTTGCTGCAGTGAAGCTTCTCAAAACAATTGTATATCTAAAGAAGGAGATTTTCATCAGGGGTAAAAAGGAAACAAAAAGAGCAGAAGCTGAGGTTTCTCTTTCCTGTCATGACTGTGTTTTTTTTCTGCTTAGCAGCTCCAAAATGCATTCAGAAATTACCTTCTTGGGCACCCCGTAGGTCACGTGGGAGAGCGTGTGCCTCATATAAAAAAGGCTGAGTCCTTATTGCAGCAGCCCAGGTTTGAATCTGACCCACGGCCCTTGGCTGCACGTTGCCCCCTTCTCTGTCTGACTTATGATCAAATAAAGGCCAATAAATTAATCTTAAAAAAGAGCTTCTGTGCTTAATAACATGCACTGACATTTAAAAATGAGAAGGAAGTTAAACGTCCATTAAAAAGAGTGTGTGTGTTTGGGTCACAGGTGACTACAAAGTCAGTGGCGCAGTGTGTGGAGTTTTACTACACCTACAAGAAACATGTCAAGATCGGCCGCAACGGGACGCTGATCTATGGCGAGACGGAGCCTCTGGAGAACAAGACTGTTGAGGAGGAGACGGACCACAAGGTTAGTGACACGCCATGTTTGAAGGTAGACTCTGCGGGAATTGTTGGTCAGTGTTTGTAGACTGTGTCAATAGCAAAAGTGAAAGCCAACCGCAGATTGGTGTTTTAGCTTGTTAAATTTCCATTTTTTGGCACTGTGTCTGCAATTCTTGTAGCTTTCTCTTGGATGCATGCTGCTAACAGTCTGGCACCTGATAGCTGCATTTTTATAAAGCTCTGCTGCACAAAGGGTTGCAGCGATATACCAGTTTCAAGGTATACCTGTACCTATAAATCCATGCAGAGGGCAGAGTCTCTGCAGATAAATACACCACCACGCGCTTATGCATAGTATATCTTAAATATCTCTACTTCAGTAACATATGTGTTGTTATTGATGTATAGACAAAAGCTAAAACATAACAAACCAAGACTCTGATATGAAGTAAAACAAACTTGTAAAACACAGCTGCACCCCAGAAAGAACCATAGGACATCTTGAGTATTGGTTTTAAATGATTTTACTAAGAACAGTTTGTAAGTTTCTGCAGAAGTGTTTCAGAAGCATTGTCTCAACTAAGCAGCAACTGTCACACTGATCTGGTTAAAATGACGGTTGGACTGCAGGGTGATCTGATTAAACATGAAACAGCAGAGTTTTATTTAGATGTGAAACTGCAGAGTGTTAGTTCAGAAATAAACACAGCTCAGAATATCTTCATTGACCACTTGGGTCTTAAAATGAAGTGTGTGAGCGGCTGCAGCTCAGAGCGTTAATAGTAGATGCAGAGATTAATTTTATCTACCGAAACATTCCATGTGCAGCTTTGGTGGTTGTGATAGTGACCGTGCAAAGCTACATGCATGTATAGTCAGTGTATAGCCACAACAGAGCGTTATGAAGTCACACCCTGCTGTTTATGTCTCACACTCTTCTTCCTCTGGCCCACAGGGCTCTCACAGGTTGGAGCCACAGAGGGAGGAGGACAGCAGGAAGTGGGAAGGGTCAGCTGACAGGAAACCGGATGTCGGCCCCACCAGGGTGACACACACGTTGCAGTCCTCTGAGAATGTAAGTGTGAAATTAATTCTCAGTTGTGCATGGGAAAAGGAAGAGAAATGATAGAAGTAGATAAGAGGATGAATGGATATCCTACTTGGAGAGACTTTTCCCGTAAAGATGGCATCAGAGGATATGATTTCATTCAGTAACCCAAAACATTGCTGTTTGGTACTTTCCAAAATTAACCAACTCCCAGTGTCATTTATCATTCCCATAATGTGACTCATATTGCAATTGAATTATGTGTCAAAATAATCACAATATGATTTTATTTTGCATATTGTGCAGCCCTAGTTTTTTTTAGACAGTGTCTTCTTTTTTTTTTTTTTTTTTTTAAATATTTCTATTGCAATAAAATGTCCTTTTCTCCATGTTTGCTTGTTACTGTGTTGGCCCAAAATATAAGATTATTCCCCATTTTCAGCACCTATATTTGGAAAAACTCTTCAGACTGGTCCAGTTGGGAAAGTTTCCCCAAGATACTGATAGTTAAAAAGATCATCTTCATCCTTGAAGCCTTTTCTCTCATAAAAGTGAAACATAAATACTTTAGCTGTGTTCGAAATCACACACTAACATACGGTTCATACTAACTATGATATTAAATTGAGAACATGGTGTATGAAACTACAAACATCCTGGATCAGGTTTATTCTGACGCTTGAGAGAGTTTTAGGTTACAAGATCCCAAGGCACCCACAGATTGTGTTTGTGGGATTAATACCTGAAGACATTATTCATAAGAAGGACACTTATCTGTGGCCATCTTTAGGAACTAGCTGAAAGGTGACCCTCCGAATCCAGGACAGTAGCTGGACATTGTAGAGGAACTATAGTCCATGGAAAAACTGACCTTTCACCTGATGACTCAAGCAAGGACATGTGTAACGCCGTAATGAATGAAGTCATTCATCCTTTCATTTCATTCATTTTCTGTAACCACTTATCCTGTTGGGAGTCTCAGAGGGAGCGGGAGCCTATCCCAGCTGACATTGGGCGAGAGGCGGGGTGCACCCTGGACAGGTCATCAGACTATCACAGGGCTGACACATAGAGACAGACAACCATTCACTCACATTCACACCTACGGACAATTTAGAGTCACCAGTTAACCTGCATGTCTTTGGACTGTGGGAGGAAGCTGGAGCACCTGGAGAAAACCCACGCTGACACAGGGAGAACACGCAAACTCCACACAGAAGGCGCTTGCTGGGTCAGACCAGCCGTCAGTCATGTGATACAGTCATGTTGCTCGAGTATTCTCCAGTAGGAACAGTCAGTTGGTAATAGCTTCCTCATCATTCGTTTAGTGGGCAGTATGCAGAACATACAGTTTGAACATGTAGTTGGCAGAACGTTGGTATGTGCTTCCAAACACAGCTTGTGTGTTTGTCATGTGCAGCTAACACTTCATGCTTTTTATGAGTCACATTCTCACACACACGCTCCTATCAGGTTGTTAAAGTGATCAAAATGATTTTCACTCTCTGCTCACATGTTTCTACTTTGCTTTTTTCACACTCCTCATCATGATAGTCAGTGGCAGTTGTAATTCTCGGCAGCTTGACAAATCATTTGGTTGCTAGTCTGTTTATGTGGCAGCAAAACCCATCACTCTGACCAGCACAAAGCTTTAACTTTGCTTCCTGAGCACTTTTAAAACATGCTAGCCGAGCTCCTTTATGCCAACAAACTGCCCATAATGCAACACTCCTAGAGCCAGTGCACTGTGTTTGAAAAATAATTTGTTTTAGTGAAAAGATAAATGTCCTTGAATGTAGTACAACCACTACTTTTTTCAAGTGTAAACATACAATGATGATAAACACAGAAGTAGGTCAGCACTCCAGAGGGATTATTGTTATTGTTGTAAGTGTTGCATTAATTAGTACGGTGTTGGTTAGATAATTACCATTTTGTATATTGTCGTTTATTAATGCAGAAGTGTAATTTCTCAAAGCATTGAAAGTACTGTGATCAGTTTTTCCCCCTAATATTCTGTACTATTATTATTTGTTTGCACATGAACTATGATGAGGGATTTGATAGTTACACACAGCCTGTTCAGGTGATACACTGTAAGCTAATACAGGAACATCCTCTGCATGTTCCTGCTTAGAAACCTCAGTTGGCCTCATCAGACTTCGACACATTTGTCCTTTTGAACTCTTCCTGTTTTCTGCTGTGACCTGATGTTGCATTTGCTGCCCCCTGCTGGATATTTGAGAGGCGACAACTTGGCTGATGTCCACCTCTCTGGATTGTGTAACCCCATTATGTCTGTCTGCAAACAATGACTCGACAAGAAAGCTTTATCTGCGTTATTTGCGTTGCATTTCAACGTTTAGGGAACGTAATAAGCTGTAGGGAAAAGTGCCATGTGTGTTTTTGTGTGTCAGTGTGTGTGTGTTAGCTGGTGCACTGTAATACTATCCCACTTTAAAGGAGCTCATAAAGCAGCTTCAAGCTCATTATTTTTTCCGAATTGCTTGAAGTGACTGTGTCTTTCATGTTAACGACACCTCACGTGTTACTGTGTGTGTGCAGCCTGGGACCGTCCTGATCATGAAAGGCCAGGAGGATGTGGCGAGGGACCAGCCGCTGTCTCGGGTCATCCACCCCCCTCACCCACCCCCTCCCAGCTCCAAATCCCGCTACGACGGCAACGCACGCCGGACCAGCCCTTCAACGGGCAACAAAGGCACAGCTGGTCAGGAGGGAGAGTTCCCCTGCAAGAAATGCGGCAGGTGAGTGATGAGAAATACCCCATCAGTCACTGCTGCTGCTGTGATGGAGACGTTGGCACGGCTCTGTTTACTTATGCAAAGCCGGACAGCAGCAGTTACATAAGTGGCCTCAGTGTGAACCAGCTTGATCTGAAATGCTAAATTTCTGCAGGAAATATTGCCACTGCTATTGCCCACTTGGATTCCCTGTTGGTAAATAGAGGCAAGTGTCTGGTGGTGTTTGAAAGAATCAAACCATCCTGTCATGCTCTGATTAAATAACAGCCCGTCCTCTGGCAACACCGGGCCTGTTATTGCCAACTGTGTCCTAGCAACTGAAACACAGAGTAGATTCTGCACATCGCGCCTCTCGTCAATGCAACTCTACTCGGTGACTTGACAAGAGCTTCACTCAGCCTTTAAATACTCACCCCACTCAATGTGCGCCTGTTATAGATAATTCACCACTCCAGAGTCGGATGATTTATGTTTACAGGGAATTCAGCCGGGCTTATTAGACAATTACACTCATGGTATCATGTGGCTGCACTTTTCATGCAGCCAAAGATAAGGGCTGCAACTAAAGATGATTTACATTGTTGATTAATCTGTAGATTATTTTCTCGATTAATCAATTGGCTGTTTCGTCTATAAAATGTTGATCAGAGCTCAAGATGACGTCCTCAAATGTCTTGTTTTGTCCACACCCCAAAGATATTCTATTTACTGTCATACAGGAGCAAAGAAACCAGATAATATTGTTACTTAAGAAGCTAAAATCTGAGAAATTTGATCTATATTCTTTCTCAAAAAATTACCCCAAGTGAATATTGATTTTCAAATTCATTGGTGATTAATTTAACAGTTCCCAAGTAATCGACTAACGTTGCAGCTCTACTAAAGACTCACTGCTGTGTCACATGCTGTGATATTCATCGTTCTGACATGGCCATTTATTACTTCATTTTTCGTATATTGTACCAAACTTTTTGAAGAAAGACCAAGGGAATGAGTCAAAGATTCAACTCATTAGTCGGAGACCACTCAGCCAACTGAGATTCTTCAAGTTTAGCAGTGAAAATAAAATGCAAAAATTACCATCTTAGTAAAATCGCAACTCATAGCATGTCAAAACAATTGCAATATGATTTTTTATTTGTTGTTTTTCTGACGGTCAGTGTATTTCTTAGGATGTTTTCGGCCCCCAGATTTAGCTGCAGAGTGAACACTCCTTGCTTTCACGCTGCTCTCTGGTACAGCGGTGTGAGTCTGAGTGAGACAGAGGCACCTGCATTTGCCCACTCAGGCTCCAAGATAACATTATATTCTGCCAGCTTAGAAGTGGTTAATTTACAGCTCGCAGTAGCTTAATATACAGCAATCAGCGTGTATTAGAGGGCTAACTTGGCTTGTTTACTAAAATACGTGAATGTCCCATTGAACCCCGTTCAAGAGTCTTAAACTTAATGAAATAAAAAAAGGAATGAATAGTCAGATATTGATACTGATTGACTGATATAATTCTGAGTTGGATACAGCCCTACCTTCAGAAACACACATACTGTTTTGTTCATCTTGGCACCTAATTAAGACCTGAATATCATTGTGACATTTCATAATGAAGGAGGCGCTTAGTTTCTTCAGGTCATATATTTTGTGCTTTTTATCCACCTTTTGGAATACTAAATTACCTGATTTTTGACTTCTGAAATTAGTCACCCAGTCAAGCCTCCTTTTTTTGTACTCACTATTGCTATTTTATAGTCTTTGTACCTTTACTTTTTATTTTATTTTATTTTATTTTTTTTTACCACCAGCGCTGCTCTTTTTTCCTTTTAGATATGAATCTCATAACATAAATGTCTGACCAAGTAGTGTAAAATTGACTCTTCCAACATGGCACAAGTCTGAATGTTGTCAGATTAACATCCACAGCAGCACAAAGGTTAAATATACAAGAACAGATAAAATGTATGCCCTTCTCTTTAAGAGCTTTGTAATAGTTACATCCTTCAATTGTCAGAAAATACTTCAACAAACTGACTGTGGAGAACCACATGTATGTAAAAAATGTTTTTTTTTTTTTTGGCCTTGTTGTGCAGGGCACCAAAAAACAACCTAATATAACCCCAGTAATTATCAGACCTGCCGTCTCCCTTCTCCTCCTAGAGTAAACTGCTATCCAATAAAATGCTTTAGATACATCTGGTGAGCAGTTAAGAATGATGTGAGAGTCCCAGTGGAACATCTTGTCATTTTATGCCTGTGCATTGTTGGACATAAAATAAGCAGTAAAATTCCCCATCTAAAAATCTTTAAACTGATGAAAAGAGTTTAAAAGTGAGAAGCGTGAAAAGCTTCCTGTGCGCCCACTGTGGTCATAAATTAATTATTAATTCTCCAACAGTTTAAAAGTTTTCAGTCATTGAAGCAGCCTGTGAAAGAACAGAGAAGTTTTCATTAGGGCTGCACGATACAAAGAAAATATGTGATTATCTTTTAACTATAACTCAAACAATTGAACAAAATTAAAGGCGTGTCTCAAATATAGGCCTGTTGATTTCAGTGATTTAAGCAAATAATAGCCCGGGCTATTATTTGAATTTTTAGGGTATGTCTGAATGACAAAATCCTACAACTTCACCAGCCTGATGAAGCCAGCAGTGTCACATACACCTTTTCAAGCAATAAGCTCCTTCTTCTCTTCCTGCAGGATTTTCTACAAGGTGAAGAGCCGCAGCGCCCACATGAAGAGCCACGCCGAGCAGGAGAAGAAGGCCGCAGCTCTGCGACAGAAGGAGGCCGAGGAACGGGCGGCAGCAAAAGCAGCCGCTGAGGCCGCCGCTGTTCTTGCCGCACGGCAGCAGAACGGGACGCGGCAGGTAGGCGGGGACAGCACCAACGACGACTCGTCGGACGGTGAGGACGAGGACGATGAGGACTGGCAGTAAAAGAAAGGCCGCACACACTGACTGCAGCACGCAGCGTGGCTTCACTCTCTGGGATGGGAGATTCAAAAATTCAGAAAAAAAAAGAAAGAGGAATCCCACCTGTGAACTTTGTGTACATTTTGTGGAACAAAACTTCCGTTGCTTGGCACATTCAGGGACAGATTTACTCCCGTGTATGTGTTTGTGAATGTGTGGACTGAGTGTGTGTGTGTGTGTGTGTGTGTGTGTGTGTGTGTGTCGATGATGAGTGCGTATGTGCTTTCCAGAGCTCACCACGCCCCCTTTACTCTGCTTGAAAAGCTTTTCAAGAGTTACCTCTCTTGGTCACAGGGCTCGATCAAATCAAAGCCATGCCGCCTCTCTTGGCGCCCTCCTGCTCTCCACGCCAGGCTGCGGCCTTCCTCAGCACTTCGAGTTTCGCCTTGTTTCGTTCAACTGGGCGAGGAACTTGTTGGACCCTCTTTTTTTCTCCTGATGAGCCGCAGCACGCGCTTGCTTCAGCTGCATCCCAACTGGATGAAGTTTTGGCGATATGGACACTGAAATCTGACAGCTGGGAGATTGCAGCAAACGAACGCAGGGTAGTGCTGTTCTGTTGGTTCCACCACTCTACGACGGACAGACATGGCATGTGCAAACTGTTGCCTTTGTTTTCGCCGCTCTTCTGCACTCAAGGCTGCCAAAAGCTTTCTCAGACGCATGATGTGCTCCAAGTGGGTTCCCTCTCTTTCTGTGAGCGTTGTTCATTTGGGCTTTAGTTCTGTGAACCCCCCCCTTCAGCCCTTGTCACTTTTTATAGTTCCCAGTTCGTTCCTCACTGTCGATGCCTTGACTGTTTTGATGCTTTTTATCTTGAAATGACAATCAATTTTACACTGTTGTTGTTTTTGTTTTTTATAAATATATATATACAGGTAAACGTTACTTTTTCTGCCTGTGTCGCTATCTATGGTTGTTGTTTCTGTGAATATTCTTGTTGATGATTATTAATATTATTATTATATCTTGGTTTTGGCTGCAATTTAATTGAGCGCTTTTCCGTACTTGTCCATAGCTTTCTTTTTCTTCCTTTTTTTTATTTAAACAAAAACAAAAATAATGCTACTTGCTGCCTGTTTATAACTGTGAGATTTTTTTTTTTTTTGGAAGCCAGAAATGAAGAAAAGGCAGAAACGTATGTGCAATAGAATAAGTTGAAACCACCCCAACCCCCACCCCTTGTTACCAGAGCATCCGAGCCCCCCCCTCCCCTGTTATGCTTACAACTGGCTGCTCTGGATGCCTCGCTGTCAACCCTGTAACTGATAGGAGGTACTGACTCAGACTGTTGAAACCCGCAGGTCTCCATAGATACACATAACTAAGTGGGAAAGACAACAAACAGTACAAACAAACTGGAGACACATTTTGGAATCAGATACCGATGTTTACGACGTGTTTACTACCAAGAAATTTTAGCCAGAGTGAATAATTTGCTGATACAAACAAACATTAAGTTCACTGTAAACCAAGCTTCACCCAGATTATTCAGGTTTTAACAGGAAGTTTTGAACATCGACATGAGACACAGATATCAAAATCAATAACATATCCCCTTCTTACTGAGACGTTTCAGCTACAAGTTATGTTTTACACTTTCCACAGACTGTCATTTACAGGTGCATTATTTACTGTAGACTTAACTAAACCCAGATTATTCAGGTTTTAACAGGAGATTTTGAATGCGGATATAAAAACTTTACATTGTCCTCCCTCTTTAGAACCAGATAACTGTAAAATGTCATTTAATTATTTACTGTCATCAAAAAACAGGCGTTAGGAGAAGCAGAGGCATATGTTACTGTAAACCAAATTTAATGCAGTTCTTGAGGGTTTAACTGGAGATTTTGAATGCTGACATAAGACACATTTTCCCTTTTTTTTTCAGAATCAGATAACACCTATAACATATCCCCTTTACTCAGACATTTCAGCTAGAGCTTTTGTTTTACACTCTCCACAGACTAGTTGATTTTAACTTACTTTCTGTGAGTTATTTACAAACAGGTATAAAGAGAATTAGGTGCATTATTTACTGTAAACTAAACTTAACCCAGATTAATTAGGTTTTAACGGGAGATAATTGAATGCTGACATAAGAACCACATATCACGGTTAAATATCGAATTATTAATATATCAAAATTATTTACTACTGTCAACTACTGCCTTTCTTTTATGAACCAGACATCATCCTTTCCAATATATCCTTTCTCCAGACATTTCAGCTTTTTTATTTATTTTTTTTACACTTTCCACAGACTATAAATAGTTGCTAAGTTATCAACATGCATGCATTAACACAAGTATATGAATTTTTTTTTTTTTTTTTTACTGTAAAGGAACTTTATTGCAGGGTATTTTAAATTAAACACAAGACATACACTTAATTTATTTTTAGAACCAGACATTTCAGCTCGATTTTTTTTCTCCTCCTGTAGACCGTAAATATGTCAGTAAATAATTTACTGCCATCAAAAAACAGGTATTAAGAGAGGTAGAAGCATACGTTACGGTAAACTAAACTCAGTGCAGTTTTTCAGACATTTCAGCTTTTGTTTTACACTTTGCGCAGAATATAAATATGTTGCTAAGTTATTTACTGTCATCAACATGTGTGCATTAACAGAGATAGGCATTTTTTTTTGTGTGTAAATTCAACACAAGACATGCACTTTATTTTTAGAGTCAGACGTCACTCTCTACTTAGACATTTCAGCTTGATATTTTTGTCCTCCTGTAGACAGTAAATATATCAGTAAATAATGTAGCGTCAGCAACAAACATGCATTACGAGATGTAGAAGCATTCTTTACTGTGAACCAAACCTAACCCGGATTTTTAGGGTTTTAATGAGAGATTTTAAATGCTGACATGATACATACTTTTCCTTTTTAGAACCCGATATCAGCAGCTGTAATATATCCTCTCTCCTTGGACATTTAAATTTGATTTTGACTTCCTGTAAACTGTAAATATGTCAGCAAATTATTTACTGTCATCAACAAACATGCATTACAAGTAGAAGCATTCTTTACTGTGAGCCAAACTTAACAGATTTTTTAGGGATTTAACTGAATTTGAATGTTGACATGATGCATACTTTTCCCGTTTAGAACCCCCATCAACATTTCAGTTTGACCTTTTTTTTTTTTACACTTCCTGTAGACTATAAATATGGCAATAAATTACTGTAAATTACTAATTTATTGTCATCAACAAACATGCATTAAAAAGACAGGAGTATTCTTTTATGCAAACCATACTCGTCTCAGATTTTACAGGTTTTTCTACAGGATTCTGAATGTTCTTATGACGCTTATATTTTCACACTTAAGTCCCTGTTTGCTGATATTTGGTGGCTCTAAATTGAAACTTGTAATGCCAAAAATATCAGGGGAATTGATTCCTTCATGTGTCTCAAACTGTGTTTTAGATCATTGTGACACTGACACGCTCTGTTAAAACTGTGACCACGTGGATCAGCAGTTTACTTAAGGGCAGCGTGACACAGCTCACAAATGCATTAGGAAAACTTTAATAATTTAATTGGAAAAAATGTGCAAATGTAGTAAAATTTCAAATGCAGATAGTGGTGGTTAGGAAAGAATTCAGAGCTCAGTATTTCCCTGTGTCTGACTCTAACATGTGTATCTATGGCTGACTTTATTTCTGTTTACCTTGTTGCTGATAGCAGGCACTGAATTGGACTATGGAAACGGCATGTTTTGATCTGTCTATCTCTACATATCTCGAGTTAAGCCCTTCGGCCCGGAGCCAGCTTCTGTTGCTGTAGCAACAAATGGGTTAAAGGGTTATTTTCCTTTAAAGGACAAACCACAGTGGGGAAGTTGGGGGAGAAATGGCTCCAATTACCAGTTACTCCACAAGTTAAACCTGGGTCTATGCACAGACTGAGTGTGAGTGTGTGTGTGTGTGTGTGCGCGCGCGCGCGTGTGTGTACATACTGTTAAGTGTGTGTGAGAGGTCAAATGTTAAACTGTACGCCAGTCAATGAAAAAAAAAAAGGTTTTGCAGACTGTTCACATGTTTGGTATGTTAATTTATATTTCCTTTTTATTTAGGCTTGTCTTGAGGTTCTCGCAGGGGGAAGGTTGTCGTCACGAAAAAGGTTTTCAAAGTTTTTTTAAAGCAGAATTATGGATGAAATGGAGGCCGTCGACACAAACACACAGCTGTAAACTCTCCTCGTTTCATCCAGTCGGTTAAGGGAATTTTAAGGGGACAAAAGGTTTATTTAGCTAAAGATTAGAAAAATATATATGAATGAAATTCTATGTTTGCATACTTTCTATGCTATTTTCATATATGGGGTTCACACTAATGATGAAAAACAGAAAGGAATCTCAAGTGCTTTTTACTACAGTGTAACTTATTTGTTTCGATTTGATTTTTACCACCTGTGTTTTTAGTAATGATTTATGAAGCACTGTATATTAAAGTTTTAAAATATTCATGAAGCCTTTGAGTGTGTCGTTTTTTTTATTTGTTCCATTATCTAACAGCAAACCAAGACTCTTTCCAAAAATCAAAGTAATGGTGGTGTTGATGGTGCTCTCAGTGAAGAAGCTGCACATGGGGGCAGCATTGTTCCAGAAGTTCAGGCACTCAAATACCAGCAAATAGCAGAAGAGGGCGCTGTTGTGACACCAGCTGAGAGTCAAAGCTGTGTTGTATCACTGTCTGATGGCTATTGTTTGATATATCACATGTAGAGAAGTCCAATTAATTTAATCCCTACCGTTTTTTAAGCAAATTCATGAGGCCAATTTAGGGATATAACTGCAGTGAAGTGCATCTTAAGTGGTTTTATCTGGTGTCCACATACCTTTCAGTGATTTGATTCATACAGTCTTACAATGGCTATGCACCCATTTTATTTTTAAATCAAAATATGATGTTGCCAGACAGAAAAGCATCCCAATATTAGACCCTATAAATGTTCTCTTTTTTCATTTAATTCAATTTCATTTATAAAGCCCAATATCACAAATCACAATTTACAGCATACAACATCCCTCTGTCCTTTGGACCCTCACAGCAGATTAGGAAAAACTCCCCTAACAAAATCCCTTTAACGGGGGAAAATGGTAGAAACCTCAGGAAGAGCAACTGAGGAGCGACCCCTCTTCCAGGACAGACAGATGTGCAATAGATGTCGAACAGAACAGATCAACATAATAAATTTACAGTAATCCATATAACAACATGATACATAAAATGGTGATCCAAAAGAATACCTGGCATTTAGTGCGTATAGAGCCAAGCAGTCATTCAATGTTCTTATTTTGTCATGTTATCATTTAACAATATTATGTTGCCAAAATTTTAGTTAATATTCGGATAAGTCCTAATTTTACATGCGGGGTTTTGCCTGATTAAATGTGGGTCATTATGCTCAAGGTTAAGTTGATTATTATATTTTATATGTTTCAATATCAAATATTATTTTATCATTCTTATTATATTTTGTTAATTTATTGTAGTATTATAAGAGATTTTGCTCTCTTTTTTGCCACACTGTGCTGTTTATAAATGTTGGAAATATTATTTTTATTATTTTATTTTGTTGTTATTTTTTTATATAAAGTTTTATTGATAATATTTTTTTAGACAAACAATATTTAAAAAAGAGCTTTTAGAAACGTGTGGAATAAAAGTATTGCTCTTCCTTAAAATGTATAAATAAATAAATTATTATTATTAATAATTATTATTATTGTTTTGTTGCCGCTTCTAACGAGGTTTATGAGCCAATAGGATGACGACCTAGTATCACGTGGTATCTCGGTGTCATCAGGTCAAGTTTAGTGGCGTCAGCTAGTGTGGAAAAAATGGAAAATGGCAGAGTTTAAGTCCGGTTTCACTCCAGTACCGATCCCAAGTTTTTGGTGACAAAATAAGGAGCAAGACCGGAATGACTATGGACCAGCTTCTACTAGTCGCAGTCAGCTTAAGGACTTTTAAGGCCTGAAAACAAACTCAGAGGTGTCCACTTTTCTTCTTGCTAGGTAAGCTAAAGCTAATGTTGCTAACGTTCTTAGCTAAGGCTCAGCGCCGGGAGTCTGATCCCGGACCATCCAGATTCCCCATTAGATGAGCTAAGTTTGTGTTGCTGCTGTCATTAACACAGGTTAGACTTAAGGTAGCTCTAACGGTCAGTTTAACATCTGTACTTTTAGCAGGAGCTAAAGCCGTAGCGGCTAATGTCCGACACAGGACCGTTCAACGGTCCAAACTAACTCACACTGACGCGGACTGTTAATAACCGTTAGTGACATTAGCCTCGTCATGCTAACAGTTAGCCATGTTACTGACGCCCAACTGTCCCTGGAGCAGAGCACACACCTCCTACTAGCGGACCCGCAGGCGTCACATTATAAAGAGTGAGAGTTATGTCACTTTTGGCAGGCTGTTGACATAAAACAGCCTTTTCTTTCCTTGCCTGAAGTTTAAGTCAGTGGCCTTTCTACCTTCCAAATATGATAAGATAAAATAAAACAACAAACAAGCAGGGTGATGGCATGGTGTTAACTGAAGCAGTGGTTCCCTACTGGTGGGTGGCGGTCCAGTAAGTCCAGAAAACTTAGGGCTCAGAGCTGTTATTCTGAAGTGCCATTTTCTGCAGTAAAGTAAGTAAATAATGGACAGCTGCCTGGCAGAGGCAGTGTTAATATGTGTGTGTGACTGGCATAATAACATAAATTAAGCTCAGGCTTTAGCAAATTGACTACAGCATATTATTTTCCGTGTGTTCCTGTTTTCCCTTGCGAAACTTGGCAAATAAGCATGATACATCGGCAGGTAATATTAGCCACCGCATTGATTTCTGTTGTTAATCAGCCATTATAAAGCCATAATACATGTCCGTTCTTTACATGCATTATGAATCTCAGCTAGCAATCACTGATTAAGGTTAAAGGCAATTAAACGTGACGTTACCTTGTTGTGGCGGGTCCACTCGGCAAACTCAGTGCATACACTGGGTGTTTTCTACTTAGTCCACCTCACTCCCTCTAAACATGAAATATGCAAATTGGAAACTATTTATGCTTTGAGCAACAAAGGTGTTGTGACTTGAATGCAATAGAGTGCAGCAGGCATTGCGGTTATTTGTAGGCCAGCACAGAGGTTAGTTTCTCCCTGGTTCCCTCATCAAAAAGCCAGTGGGATTTTTCCATTGGATGTTGGATTGTTGCAAAAAATAAGATCTGTGGCAAACTACTTACACAGTTTGTTCTTACAAACGAACACCACTGTTATGATTTTGAAGCGTAAATGCGATCGCCAGGAGTAAAACACTAATGTCAGGTATGTTTAACCACTTGTTAGCAAGCGTCTTTTTTTAGACACGTAAAGGCTTAAAAATTCACTTTACTGATGTATTTTATGGTGTAGAACAAAATGTTTAAGTCCCTTAAGCTTGTGTTAAATACAGACTCGGTTTCACTAATCTAACCTGAAACCCAAATGACCTCGAGATGAGGGAACCAGAAGTGCTAAAATGAGAACTCATTTCTGGGGTTTAGGACCCACTCCTGCAGCATTCTGTGGAAGGTGGAGTGCAACATTAAGTGGCTAATGTTATTATAAACACCTTTAATGGTGGTAATGATTTCAACCATATTACACACAGAAAGGGAAATATCTAAACTTCAGAGCAAAGTTTTTGTCTTTTAAAGCCACATATTTCTATTCTTTAAACCAGTGGTTCTCAAATGGTGTGCCGTGATGCCAAACCAGGTGTGCAGTCGTATTTTGTGATAGCCACACATTATTATCGCAATATTCAACTGGGCCTATACAAAAAGTTATGAATTACTTTTTAATTGACTATTAGTGTGTTGTGTGCACCCCATTTCCAACTAGAGGCAAACACTGGCTAGAAAAAATCTAATTTAATTTGATTTAATTAAAAAAAAAAACTTCTAGGGGAACCTGTTTGTCGCTGTTTGCATGAGGAAATTATGAGTAGGGGTGGGAATCTTTGGGCACCTCATGATTCGATTCGATTCAGGGGCTACGATTCGATTATAAAACGATTATTGATGCATCTTTAATTTATGTATATTGATGCACTTTTTCACAACACACATTTCTTTTTGTCTCACTGAATAAGCATTCAACACTTGCAATTTTTAAAAACAGTGCATTTGTAATAAGAAAGAGTTGAATTCATTTCCATTATATTTTATTAAACATATAAATGGAAATGCTTGCAAACTGTAAAGTTACAACTTCGTTGTACGGAACCAAAGGTAACAACAGGTATCTTAAATCACAAGATAAAATGTGCAGTTAACTTAGAGTAACAAATGATTCGGTGGCGACAGACGTCCACGCATCACATGTAACTGCGTTCCTACCTGCCTGCCTTCAACAGTGAGGCCATGACTTCTGTTTTGGTTTGATGGTAGAGTGTTGGTGAAATAGCGTCGGGATGGGATGGTGTATCTGGGCTCCAGTGTATGCAGCAGTGCTCGAAATCCCTGATTTTCCACGACAGAATAAGGACACAAATCCTTGGCAATAAATGCCGCGATGGCCTTCGTAATTCGCTTCGCCTTTTCCGATGAGGGTGGCAGCTTTCTAATTGCTTCCTCGATTGTTCTCTGGTCGGTAGCGCCAATAGTTGCCGCAGCAACAACAGCCTGCCATCTCCCTGACTCCTCCGTCAGGTGGAATCGAGTTACATGGCTTCTCATGTTTGTTGTGTTGCCAAAGTATTTTATTTTAGCACGACACAGCTTACATATAACGTGGCTCTTGTCCAGTTCGCTTCCGCCATCAACGTTGTAGAAGCCGAAGTATTTCCACACATCTGCTTTTAAATTAGAAGAAGCTGTTCAGCTCTCACGGCGAGGTGGGTAGCGGTCAGCCATGTTTGTTTTCCTCTGTGCGCGTGTCGGCGTGTCTGCTCCAGGTGCGCATCCCAAAGTGTCCCGGAGATGACACGTACCGCGCTTCTTAGTTCCGCATTATTTAGAACCTTCTGTATTACTCTAATTAACAGATTTAAATAATCGAAATTTGGACGTTTGTGAATCGATTCAGATTCGTCCACGTCCGAATCGCGATGCATCTAAGAATCGGAAATTTCCCCCACCCCTAATTATAAGTGTGTGACAGTTCAAAAGCCCTGATTGGCAGCCAGTGTGAGGGGTAATAACATTTAAAAGGAGAAAGCTGTGAGTGGGACAATGGATCGCTTTACTGTACGGAGCGACCAAAAAGAACTGTCAGTAGACAGTATCACAGAAGCAACCTGTCTTATCTTTTGTCTTGTGAGTTTATTGTCTTGTGTCATGATAAGAGTGATAACACACGTTATAGAAGTTATTGTGCACAGTTATAAATACAGGTGTGCCTTGAGATTTTGGCTTGCCCTTAAGTGTGCCTTGGGCACGAAAAGTTTGAAAACCACTGCTTTAAACTGGCTCAGTCGAGATACATATTTTGC